ACCTCTGGGGGTAGCTGATTCCACAGGGTCGGAGCAGCCACAGAGAAGGCTCTCCTCCGAGGCCCCGTCAGCCGACACTGTCCGGCTGACGGCATCCTAAGGAGGCCCACCCTGTGGAATCTTATTGGAACACCAAGAGGGTTAGCCATCCATCAAAGCTTGTTCAAACTGCAGAGGGTTTATAAATATCCAATAGCTATCAGGAGGTATTGTGGGGTTGCCGGGTGAAACAAAAGGGAGCAGACCCACTGCACAGTACTGCCTTTTGGTCACACCTACCATTATTGGTTAGCTTTCTTTTAGAACAGCACTACGTCTGTGCTCAAAAGTAGTTTGATGACATTAGGCTGATGTATTGTGATTGGTGGTGCTGTGCAATAGAAGTCGCCTTCCTCCCACTTCCCCTTTTCAGTGCTTATCACCTGTTAGGGGATAGATCCCAATTTCAGGAGGATCTCTGAATCGGCGGTATAAAAGCCAGGTCTCTGAACTGAGGAAAGGCCAGTTTGAAGGATCTGGAGCTTCTTGTGCAGACTAGATCAGGGGGATGACCATAACACTAACATTTACCAATAGGAATTGGACGAATTCTGTCCCATAGAAGTCACCAGACCATATCACTGAATGACATGTGAATGAGTATGTTCTTGGCAAAAAAAAATGATTTGAAAAGCTGAGGAGGATATAACTTATCCAAGTATAGGTTGGGGAACTGGGAAAAGTGTTTTTATGAGAACCCGGCAGGAAATAACAATTGCCAAAACATGCTTGTCCTGCAATTAACTCAAATGAGGAACAGTTCAGAGTCATGGGAAAACAAGAGTACAGAAATAGTGAAGAAGAAAGGGGAAAAAATGTTTTTAAAACACACAAACCCATGTCAGTAAACCCATGAAAATACTGAAGTATGTTGCAATCCTGTGTGTAGTTTATGGCAGATCAGTGACTGGTAACTCTAAAAATGCAAAGATAATTTACTGTCAAGCTAATTTTAAAGCTCTCCTGCCCAGTCGTCAATATCACATTGAAAGTAGGATTTCATGGCCTGTAAAATCTGCCAGTTGGCAACTGAAGTAGGAAATTGCATGTATCCTATTAAGACATATTGCGTAGAAATGCTAATAGGTACAGAAGAAAATTCATAAATAGTAGCTAACCTGAGTATAAATTAAAAATGTTTCTTTCTTTGCTCTTGGTGTGTACAATGATTTTTTATACATGTGCCCAATATAAGCCCTAGTTAAGATCCTGCCCACTCCTGGGTGCACGGGGTGGGTTGAGGCGCACGGGTAAAAATTAAGCGAGGTGGGGATTGGGTGTGTGTGTGTTGAGCTGCCTTACTACTTACCTTTGGACAGTTGCAGCCAGGCCTCGCGCACCCCAACACCTGCCTTGTCATGCTGGCCCACTTCTTCTGCGACCGCTTGCCACCTTGCATGCGTCACTCCCCCGCCCCCCCCGGCCTCTGTTTCACTGTCAGAGGCTGTCAGTGCTACCGCCATGAAGTGAGTCAGTGAAAGACATCCCCCCACCCCCAAAATAAGACTTGGTGCCTTTTTTAGTGGCAAAAAAAATATAAGACCAGGTCTTAGTTTCGGGAAAACACGGTACCTTCTGAGGGACTGAGATTCTAGTAATAAAAGGAAAGTTGAAAGATCTTGCTTGCTATGGATGGGTGGGGTTTACATGCAGAAAAACTCTTAATTTGATCTGGCTGTTAAACTAAATGTAAACCTTTTTGAAGAAATCTGATCTTGCCACAGATACAGGAAGTCCTCAATTGACGACCACAGTTGAACCCAAAATTTCTGTTGCTAAGTAAAGACAGTTGTTACACGAGTTTTGCCCCATTTTATGACCATTCTTGTCACAGTTGGAAAATGAATCATTGCAGTTGTTCACTTTGTAATACAATTAAGTGAATCTGGCTTCCCTCATTCCCCTTTGCTAGTCAATAGACTGAAAATCGTGATCACATGACCCCGGGACTCTGCGGCTGTCATAAATATGAATCAATTGCCAAACACCTGAATTGTGATCACGTGATCTTGGGGATGCTGTAATAGTTGTAATTGTGAAAAACGGCCATAAGTCACTTTCTTCAGTGCTGTTTGTAACTGTGAACGGTCGCTAAATGAACTGTTGTAAGTTGAGGGCTACCTGTATCTTGTTTGCTTCAGTAGTGGAATATTGCAAGAGAATCATATCAGATGCAGGTGGAAAAACCAAAATGGTTTTCTCTGAAAATGATCTTTCCAGTATTATCTTGAAGGCTTTTTCCTCAAGGTTTCTGATTTTTTTTCTTACTATGCCATTTTAAAATATTATTATAATGTACTTATAGGGTTTTGTAATGAAACACGCAGAGATAGAAATGCTTTAAAAACAAAAAGTGTACACTATCTACTTAAATAGGGCAAAGCAAAGAGTGCTTTGAGTTAATCCAAAGTGTCAGTCCAGCTGACTGCTTGAAGCATCACATTTTTGTGAAGGTCCAGTCTCTTCAAGGCTCTCCCCACTCTGAACATTTAACAACTTACTGAAAACAAGCCTGTAGTTTAGGTACTTTAGAATAGCAATCACTATATAATAGGAAATTATTAAATTAAATTATTAATCACAGAACAAAGCTTCTAATATTTCTATATGTTAAATTATTACGGGCAATTCTATGCTGCAAGCCAGTATCCAGCTCTCTGCTATTTTCTAGCGAAGAAAATCTTCTAATGGTTGTCCTGAGAGATAATGCTACCCAGTTCCAACCTTATATTTTATATACGCATATGTTATAGAATTTGCACACTCTTTAGTGTAAAACTTGGAGTGATTTTAATTGTGTTTCTCCACCACCTATCATCTGAGATCAGCACAATACAGGTGTGGAGGTAGAAGTTTGGAAATATATTATTATTGTAGCTTTATTAGCCATTTTCTACCTGAAGTTTAGATGTTAGGGCTTGGGGTTTTGGCATATGGTCAATCTATTTATCCCAATATTTGAGCTATGTTTTAGAAAAAAAAATAATACTAAAAAAATAAGGACATGTTTCTGGTCTCTGCATTCATAAAAGATGTGAAACTCCTGTGGATTCCCATAACTCATCTGGCAATGAGACGGCACACCAGAATTCATTCCCAGAAAAAGAGCCAGCAAATGGAACACAGAATCACGGACTAACCAAGCAAGAAAAAAATGAGGTATTTTTAAAAAAACTTTCAAATAAAGGAACTTCTGAATGTTTATGTCTATGCGAGGGGTGTCAAACGGGATTTCTTCAAGGTCTGGATCAGCATTGTAGTTCTCCTCCGCAGGCCAGCCAGGGGGTGAGAGACGGCATGGACCTGCCCCGTTTTCGGCCTGGATGGCCTCCTGCAAGCATCCTGCTGGCCAATGAAATCCATTTATTTATACATGGGCTAAATTTTATTCACAATTGAAATTTTGCCTTTAGTTCTTTTTATTAAATAGGACTACAGGACATTTAGAGGGGAAAATGTGTCATCCAAAAACCTGTTTTCTAAAACAGTCAAAAGCTTTGACTAAGAGGATTTCCCCACTTTTTGGTGTTGTAGTCCCCGGTATTTCTCCTTCCTTCAAGGTCATTCCAGGTGCATCTGGCCTTTGTTCCTTATTTTCTACGACCCCATCTTGGAATGTTTGGGATGTTCTTCTGCCCTTAGAATCACATGAACCTACTAAGCATAGAAGTCAGCAATAGAGAAGGTATTTTTTTAAAAAGAAATCCTGTCTCTGTATCAAATCCTCCAAATAAAAAAGTATTGAGTCTGGTCTTTATTGAAATAGAAACAAGGTCTTTTCTATAGAAATTAGAATAGTGTACATTTATGTGAAAATTGAGATTAGTTCAGCATTTGTGGAAGATTAACATGAGGACAACATGAGGATAAAATGAATGTAACCAATTGGACAGATGCTATTTCCTTTTTTTTAAGGGGCAAACTGTGAAGGATAAAGAACACAAAATATAGAATCCAAAGTTACTTCAGCAAGATTTTAATTTTACAAGTTTATGCTAACATGTCCCCCTCACTTTGTGCAGAGCAGTTATGTGGTGCAATTATTTGGTGATAATGTTTTCCCCATTTTTAAATATATATATATATTTTAGCCAAAACCCCAGCTGAATAGCAGTAGCCTTACGCCTAGGGACAGGAGAGTGGTGCTAAGGGCAGTATTATACATAGGTGACTTCTTTTGGCTAACATGTATGTCACAGCTTATGTTATATGCTTGCCTAATTTTGGAGGGAAGAAAGTGCCTGTGTACTTAGCAATGGGGAGAAACTTGTCCAATGTGAATATATAATAGAGTAAGTTACCTACCTTCCTTTCTCTGCTTATGAGGTGATGGTAACTTTCCAGGTAAGACAGGCAGGTAGCTGGCATGAATCAGGGATTATGTCTAAAGATGTTTGGATTTGAGGAATGGCTAAATCTCTCTTTGAAGGTTATTATTTCTTTACTTTTGGAAGCAATATTTTTTTTCAGTTGTTTTGGCATGAGAGATTCTGTTTTCAGTTTTTCCTATTTGGCTTCCTTCATGACATTTCTGCAAATACTTTGAAATGGGAATAAGTAACTTGGTCTCTCTGTAATCAGTGGATATTGGGGAGGAATATTTACTGGCTACTAAATCACAGCCTTTGCATTTCAAAATGCCCAGCCATTTTCTCTCCAGCAATTTCTTTTAAGACTAATTATAAAAACTGAATAAGTATTCATACAATATGACTATCTGGGGTGGGTTGATTTTACTTTGTGCACGTCTGGTTGTGATTTTGATTAAATTTAATTTGTTGTATTTACTTAACTAAAAGTTAATTGTTTTGTTTTTCATAACTATGCGGCATACGTAGCTGCAATGAGAATAAGGCCAGAATGTAGAAAGATCACCAATATCGTTATATTGTATAAAAATAATTCAAGAGTTATGGCAAATAACTCTAATAAGAATATGATGGATATGTTCTGCAACATTCCATTTTATTTAATCTGTTTTAGCTTCGAGATTCAGCAGAGCAGTTTCAAGAATATTACAGACAGCGGTTACGCTATCAACAGCACTTAGAGCAAAAGGAACAACAACGGCAATTGTATCAACAAATGTTACTAGAAGGAGGAGTTAATCAGGAAGATGGTTCAGATGCACAACAGAATCTTACAGAACAGTTTCTTAATAGGTTGGCTTTAATGACTTTCTACTTCTGTTATAACAAAATAATAGCAAAAATGTTGACAATTCATTAAATAGTGATAGTTGCCAAAAAAAAAAAATTAACCTGATTTTAATTTTCTTTCCGACTGGATTACTTCTTGCAGTTTATGAGTAAATAAGATTTTCATATGTCCTACAGGTCTATCCAAAAGTTGGGTGAATTAAACATGGGCATGGATAGTCTGGGAAACGACGTGCAAACCCTCAACCAACATTGCAATGGGACCAAGGGAAATGTATCCATTCCTCCAGATTCTATTCAGACAATAGCTGGTGATAATACAAACATTAACACAAGCACACCTCAGAAATTTGGCTCCAGTAATGAGATACCATCTCTTGAAGAATCACCTGTCCATGGAAATCAGATGTAAGTAGTCAAATCTTTTTGTTGCTGTCAATAGCAAAAGCACTTAGACTTACATACCTCTCCACAGTGCTTTACAGCCATCTCTAAGTGGTTTTACAGAGTCAGCCTATTGCCCCCAAACAATCTGGGTCCTCATTTTACCAACTTTGGAAAGACGGAAGGCTGAGTCAACCTTGAGCCTGGTAAAATTCAAACGGCCAAATTGCAGGCAGCCGGCAGTTAGCAGAATAACCCTGCAGTACTGCATTCTAACCATTGTGCCTCCCCGGCTCTGTGCTTTGGGAGGGGAGCGCCTTGGTCAGTTTTTTATTCCCGGGGGGCTGCATAGCCAATGCCCTGTAGGTTTCTTGGCAAGATTTTAGGTTTGCCATTTCCTCCTTTGTAGGGCTGAGAGAGGGGAGAGGGTCTCCTTTCAAAGAACTCATTTAATATATGGAGATTTGGTCTAACGGCTGTTTGAGCAAGGCTGAAATCTACAAAGTGTGTTTGTTTGTTTGAATAATATTGTCTTCAAGGTTGGGAGAGAGGCATTTGGATTTTGAGTAGACAGTATTTTTATTAAGGCCCCATCTATATTGAAGTCCCCTCCCAAGACTATAATGCACGTGGATTCATCAAAATTAGATCAGTGTCATATTTTTCCAGTTCAGTCCACAAGGATCTGATGTGGGATTTCTGTTTTCATTGGGGACATACAAGCATTTATTATCAACAGACTCCAAAACCACAAAAATCCCAATTCCAATTTAAGTGTAATTCTAGCTAAATAGCAAAATACCTCAAATTCCTGAAGGCTATTCAAGCTATTCCTGCACACTTTCAAAATTATTCATTGCAAAATTTGCATTATATTTACTTCAGGGAGAAAACCTTGTTAGATCTAAAAAGACTTTGAGTTTACTGCTGAAAAGTCATATGTGAAGTTTAAAAACAAAAGTGCAAAAAAGGAAGGGAGGACAGCAGCAGAAGGCAAAGGAAGTTAGAAGAAAAGAAGGGACTTCCACAGATGATTTTATTGAAAGTGGTCTGCAGTAATTTGGGTGTAACAATGAAAGTTAATTTTAAAAACGTATGTTATGCCAGTGTTTTTCAACCTTGGCGACTTTAAGTCCTGTGGACTTCAACTCCCAGAATTCCCCAGCCAGCTGTGCTGGCTGGGGGATTCTGGGAGTTGAAGTCCACAGGACTTAAAGTCGCCAATGTTGAAAAACACTGTGTTATGCAAATAGTTCAGTAAATCTCCAATCACTCTCCTAGTGCTCTGAGCCTCTTTCTTTTCAATTATATAAGAATGGATCATGTTTCTGATCTCTCAGTTTTAAAAAGATAAAATGCATTTATCTTACTATGTTGGATTTAATGTTGTGCATTTAAAACAGTGTGCCAGACCAAGCTGCCATTCAGGCACAACATGAAGATTCTTCGGGGATTGTAAGAAAACCAAGAAGTGATGAGGTAGGATTTCACTGCGGTTTACAGAGCAGCTCTCAGCTCTTCTCGCATGCAACTATTCAGACTATAGCTTGAAATCTGCTATTGTTTTGGCATTTATGAAAATATTTAAAAGTTGTTTGTAAATGATGATTTATTGATTAATTGTGCCATTGAATCAGTGTCGACAACAACCACATAAAATATACATTTCCCAAGATGATCTGTTCCGGTCCTGATCCTTCAGCTCCCTCATTGGTGTACTCAAGGTTACTATAATTGAATCCACTTTGCAGCTGATTGCCTTCTTTTTCTTTCCATGTTTCCTAGCATTATGGACTTCTCAAGAGAGATGGGTTTTTGTATAAAATATGTCCAAAATAAATAATTTCAGTCTAGCCATTTGTGCCTCTCATTTAATCCATTCATTTATTTTTGAGGGCTATTCATTGTATTCCTAACAATCTTCTCTATTACCAACAAAAGATAGAAATATTCTGTCTTATTTTTTCAAAATCCAACTTTTGCTTTTACAGAATGTCACAAGGAAATCTTTGCCTGCATGATTCTGATCTTTGTAGGTGTAAGAGTTGTCACAGCATCTGACAATATTTTCTGAGCTGTTTATTGCTACCCCTTCACACCAAGTGCTGGTTTCACTGTTGGTGATTGATTCTAAAAGGCAGAACTATACTTCCTCATTAGCTCTAATGCTGGTTACTGTAGCTGTTGTCATTAACTTGGTCTTTATTTATTTACTTAATTTTATTTAGTTTAATATTTAATTTAATTGTATTCCTATTTACTTCCATTTAGCTTCTAGATCATTTGCATTTTCAGCTATCAAAATAATGTCATCAGTATAGCATAGAACAGTGATGGTGAACCTTTTTTGGCTCACGTGACTTCCGGTTTGGCCGTAAGGCTGTTTTTTGTCCTCCGGAGCATTCAGGGAGGGCCAAAAATGGCAATATGGCCAAATCGGAAGTGATTTCCGGTTTGGCCGAGGGGCTGTTTTTCGCCCTCCGGAGCCTTCAGGGAAGCCTCCTGAAGGCTCCGGAGGGTGAAAAACGGCCCTACAAGCAAACCAAAAGTCTGTTTCCAAATTTCCGGTTTGCCCGTAGGGCGAAAAATGGCCTCAGCAGAAGTCCAAAGTCAGCTGGCCAGCGCACTCATGCACGCTGGAGCTGATAGGGCAAATGGCTCCGCGTACCATCTGTGGCACATGTGCCAAAGGTTCACCATCACAGGCATAGAATATTGATGTTTCTTTCTCCAGTGTTAAATCATTCTCACTTTTTCCTAATGCAGTCTCACTCAGCATATATTCAATGTATAGGTTTAATAAATGAAGATAGAATTTACAGCTTGTCTTGTTTCTTTACCAACATGGAGCCAGTCTTTTAAAATGTTCCAGCTAGATTGCACCTTCCTATCCTGTACATAGATTTCTCATTAGGACAATACGACACTCTAGGATTCATACTTTCTTAGGGACATTTTACAGCTTGACATGGTTGACCTGTTATATTAAAGGATTGTCTGTGCAATCTAATTGATACTATTTGATCATTGATTGCGTTGTGTCCAAGTATTGTCCTTGCTGTAATCCTTTCTAATTATGTAAATAAAACTATTCCTTCTTTGTTTTTCATGTCCTAAGTAGTAAGCAGTAAGCGCTTTGGACTGAAAGTGTCAAATTCCAATCCATTTTAATTAGCCGGTGCCTGAGATATCAATGTGTTGTTTGATTCACTTAATTTTTTTATTGTGTTGAGCTTTTCCACTCCATTCTTCCTGTGTTCGACTGTAACTATGCCTTTGTAGCTTCCGATTTTTTTTTCTTGGATGGCAACATCAGCAGCTCGACATCCAGAAGGATTTAACCTGGTTTTATTATAAATACCATTAATACACACTTAAGATCCTCAGCTCTTCCTCAGTAACATGTTGAGCACCATCCAAGATCCATGATCCAACACTCTACTGTAAATTGCTTTATCTGGTCCAACCATGTGGTTTATCTGAACATCTGGGATCATCTTTGTACCCTGGGTGATCCTACTCTGAATATACAGTTTTGACATATATTGGCAGTGTGCTTCATTCTTCACTGCAAGGAACACCCCAATCATGCTGAAAGAGCATAGCAGGTTGCGCTCTGAAATGTGCTAGTTAATATTCTGTCATTTATTGTTATAATAGGGCGACATCTAGTGACAGTTGTAAATATCAGAAAAATGGCCTCAAATCTCCAGTATTATCTGATGGGACCATAAATTTATATAGTCATAAACACTGATGGAATAAACATCTATGCTTTTTAGAATTGTACATCTGGTGTATCACACCAGATTATGCAAAAAATAGTGCAAGATGTATAACATGTTTGATATGTTATACAATATATCAGACGATATTATTTGTATAATAATTTGGAACTTCAAATTATTAGCTGGATCATATGATGCATGTTTTGGTAAAGGTATCATTAAAAGATACCATATTTTTTGGAGTATAAGATGCACTGGAGTATAAGACACACCAAGATTTTGAAGAGGCAAAATAAAAAAAAGTTTTTGCACTCTGCAGACCTCCCAAAAATAGCACGAGTTTTGCAAAAACCGGCCTTTTTTTTTTCTTTCCAAAAAAAGGGCAGGAATAGCCTTTAGGAGGCTTGTAGAGTGTTCCACGGGAGGAGGGAGGCCCATTTTCTGTCCAAAAAAAAAAGGCATGCATAGACTTTAGGAAGCTTATAAAGTGCTCCTGGGGGGGGGGGCAAAATTGAGCAAAATATTATCCATTTTTTGCTCATTTCTGCTCTCCCCAGCCCCCAGGAGCACTCTATAAGCCTCCTAAAGGCTCTGCATGGCCATTTTGGTGAAGAGGGCGGGGTTTCGGGAGGCAAAAAAATGCTGTGTTCAGTGTATAAGACGCACCCAAATTTTCAGCCTCTTTTTTGAGGGAAAAAAAAGGTGTGTCTTATACTCCGAAAAATACAGTAAGTCTATTTAACGTGAAACTTTAAATCGGTTACCATCATTCCAAATACTACAATCCAGTTAAGATATCTCTATGCTTGGAGCTAAACCATTTTTTTTCTGCTAATGGATGGATATAAAATGTTTCACTGCCAATAGATTACCTTAGTATTGATTGCTAAAATGAATAATTCATGTTCCAAAAATGGCTGAAAATGCAATGACCAGGTTAGATCTTTTTTTTTCATAGTTGATGGCAATATTGCAAAGCTCCCATCATTTTGAAACATTATTTATAATAGAATGAAACTAATTCTAAAAGCTGAGTTTATTTTCTAATCTTCTACTTTGATTGGACATTACAGCTATCTTTGCATGATAGCTGCTGCAAAGGTACTTTATAGTTCTTATTACAAAAATATGTATATTTTTATTAGAAAGTATGTACTTTTCCTTCTGCAAAAGAGTTTGTAATCCTATAGAGTATTGATGTCCAAAATAACTTCATGTTTGAAAAGTAAATAAAAAACAATTTAATTAAATTTGAAAGTCATTTTTAGATTTTAATTCTATGTATTAGTTTGTTCCACATCTAAAATTTAGATTTCTCTGAACATAAATTTAATTATAATAAAGTTTAGTCTAACCAGAAATATTTAATTTTGAATGACCTGTTAAATAACAATGAGTCTTTTCTTTTTCAAACAGAAATTAGTAGAAATTACTTTTTTATTTTCACGATTTATACAGTGTTAACCAGTGCTACTAATATTTACATACTAACTGGATTTTCACAGTGACCTATAGTTTTTAAAATGATGCAAGATACTCAGTTATATAGAACTAATGTAATATTAAAAATTCTTATCTAGTCTCATTTACTTCTGTGACGTTTTACATTTCCTGTTTATTCATCTTGTTTTATGTTTATGCGTCATTTGCCTTTTTTGCCGTCTCAAAAGTGTTTAATAAAAATTTTAAAACATTATTTTTTATACTTGCTCCCTAATAAAAAAATAAAGTTCATATTTATATTACTGTTTTTATACAGCAGGATGACAAATCAAAGAAACAGTTCATTTGTATCAATACTCTAGAAGATACACAAGCTGTCAGAGCTGTGGCCTTCCATCCAAGTGGCACCCTGTACGCGGTTGGCTCTAATTCCAAAACCCTGAGAGTCTGTGGCTACCCAGAGCTCCCGGACTCAAGGTACAAAGGACGGATTGGGTTTTTCTCATCACTCGCCATGTAATATTTGCATCCATGTTTGCTCTGCTTTTTCGTTGCTCTTTTCTCCCCATTTATTTTTGGGTTCACCGACAAAAGGGCGAAGGACAAAACCGCGCCCAACTAAACCGCGTCGCTGACGTCATCAACAGGGCGACAACAGCGCGGAGACAGAAGCACGCTGTAAACCCTAAACCTAAACTTAACCCCTAAACCTAACCACCCTAAACCTAACCCTAAACCTAACCTTTAACCTAACCCTAAACCTAACCCTAAACCTAATCCTAACCCTTAACCTAACTCTAAACCTAACCCTTAACCTAACCCTAACCCTTAACCTAACCCTAAAGCTAACCCTAAACCTAACCCTTACCTTAAGTTGAATTGGCTTTCTTTCAACGCACTATTTAAAGCGCCCTTCTTTCTCCGCGCTGGCTGTTGTCGCCGCGTTGATGACATCAGCAACGCGGTTTAGTCGGGCGCGGTTTTGTCGTTCGCCCTTTTGACGGGTCACGTTATTTTTAACTTACTGATATAAAAGTACCACTAGAATATTATCTGAAGCATTTTATGTATACAGGTCTACTTAGATTTCTTTTTCCACACTCAAGAAAACATCATCGGGTTCAATTTTTCCTTTCAGTAGCAATTGGGAATTCCATTTAGCAAAGAATTTGTACAAATTTTGTCCATTTGGGGAGGGGGGGAAATATTAATGCATTGACTAGGCCAGTGATTATCAATCTGTGGTCCACAAACCCTGGGGAGGGAGGGGGGTGCATGATAACATCACATGAGGGTCATGAAGGCTTGAAGAAATGTTATGATTTAAATCTTGAGTTAAGTCTTGGGAGTCCGTGGCCATAAAAGGCATTTAAAGGGGTTTTGTGGTGAAGAAAAGGTTGAGAACCACTGGACTAGAAGTTACAGAGTATAGCATACAATGCATTTTAGTCACTTTCAAGGTAGGTGATTGTAGGTTTTGGGCTTTTTATTTTTGTGCCCATGAGTCATTTAAGAGAAACAATTGGCCTGGCTTTGTGCCTAAAATTAAACTAGAACTCTCCAGTTTTTAGCCTGCTGCCACCAAATTGGCTTTCTAGATGACTTTAGTACCAATTCATAATTTCTTAAGGTTGTTGTTGATGTTAGCTAAAGCAGACTAAATGCAGGTCTTTTTTCTGGTGTATCTTTCTCTGGGAGATTAGCTCAAAACACACACAGACACACACACACACTTTCATTAAAATTCCTATTTGGATAAATACCTTTAGTATCCAGTAATGAATAACCAAAATACTTCATTTTTCATACTTCATTTTAATAATATGATATAAATGACCTTTTAACATAATAGCCTAAATAACAATCCTCTGAGGTGATTTATATTAAACTTCAGTTACTGAGAAAAGTCAAAATTTAGCTTTATCAATAAAAGCACCTGAAAATTGGAAAACAGTGAATTCTTACTATTTAGTTGCACTGTCTCAAGCACGTCCCATCTTATTTCCATTTCAGTTTATATTTTATAAAAAGTTCCCCCAAAATTGAAATGCATTTTTGAACACGCTAAGACTCACATACATTTCTCTACACAGTTTCCCTGTTATTTCAAGACGTTTATAAAACATATACCAAAAGGCATAGTCAACTTGCTTTCTGGCCATTACTTATTAGTTCAGAAAGTAAGAATTTGATTGGTTCATTTTAAAATGTAAATTGATTAAATATCTCATGGTCGGGATTAGGCAGTGGCTCTCACATGCTTTCATGCAACAATTTTTGGTCTTCAAATTAGAAAATAGGTGAAGAAACATGACAAGCAAGATGTTCTGATGCACCTTTGCTGACAGAGACAAGAAAAGAAAAAATCCACGTTTGCAAATCTTTTTTTTTTAAATGAACTTCTATAATGTTGCCTTCATCTTAACTCTAGACCAAGAGTGAAACTGGTTACATTTCTTAATTTTACTGGCGTTAAAAAAATAAGTAGTCCTCACTTATCAACTGCTAATTCAGCAACTGTTTGAAGTTATGGCCGCGCTGAAAACGGAGATTTATAATCGGTCCTCTAAATTGTGGCTGTTGCATCCCTGCAGCTACGTGATTGCAATTAGGACATTTGTCAACCAACATTTATTAAGGCTGCAGCATCCTGTGATCACATGATCATCCTTTGCGTAGCCTTTACGACTTTATCGCTTCCAACAAAATGAACGGGGAAGCCAGCAGGAAGTTGGAGGATGCAATAACACGATATTCCACTTAATGACCTGCAATGATTCACTTAACAATTTCAATGGAACCCATGAGGCAAGCCATTGTAATCCCATGACCCTTCACTTTATAGTAGTGTCGCATAGTGAGAGAGCATGCTCTCCAAATTCTAGTTGGAAAATGAGGACTACCTATAGGTCAATGTTTCTCAACCTTGGCCATTTGAAGATGTCCGGACTTCAACTCCCAGAATTCCCCAGCCAGCATTCGCTGGCTGGGGAATTCTGGGAGTTGAAGTCCGGACATCTTCAAGTGGCCAAGGTTGAGAAACATTGACCTATAGTATCTTTCCTCTAATTTTGATACCAGCATTCACAAATGACCAATAGCCAGCCTTACATTGGTGATCTTAACGAACAAGTCGTTCAATTAAAGTCATTGTGACTACTGGAAATGCATTTGGGATCATGGTTCATGTCTCATTTGTATGTTTCTATAAAGTAAGAAATTTAGAAAGTTAAGAAAGGTAATTTTCAATTGGTTCAGTGATTCCATCATTCCCCCCTGAGTTTCTTCAACCTCCATTGTCTTGTGTGGCTGCCAAGCATGGCGAAGGGACCCCCAGTGTTGACTGTGCCTTAGATAACGTGACTTGCTGCTTCTCCACTAAGTTGTCGGTTTGCTGTACGAAATATTGCCCCCCCCCCCGTGTGTGTTTTTGTGTGACCCATCACAAGCCCACTTCCACCATCTGAAACTGAAAAAGCCATAAGTGTATTAACTCACATAGGTTATCTTGTGAAGTGTGTTCCTAGTCTCTCTGTAACTATTTCCTTATATGTTGTTTAGCTCCTCCACTGGTGTTCCTCAAAAACTCGTATTTGACTTAGGCAGATCTGCGCTCTCTTCTTCTTCTGTAAAGATCACAACAAAGTAACTAGTATATTTATTTACCTACACTTTCGAATCTTCAGTGCATTGGGGTTGTGGTGTTCTTTTGGCTTCTCCATTATGTGCTGCTTTCCCACATCTAAATATACTGCCTTTCTCTCTATATATATATTTGGGCTGGTTTTTTTTCTCCATGTTTTATAGCTTAATGCACCACTACATTTTTCAGCTCCTGTATCACGATTCTTTTTTTTAAACGCTACTTCAAAACTGTCTTGATTATATTAGCTCTCCGTTGCCATATTAGCATCCTCTTTTATTTGCTCAGTTATACAGCCAAGTAGCAACATTACGTCTTTCCTTTTATATACATTATGTACATATATACATTTTACAGCTACTTGTAAATGATTGTCAAATGTCTCTTTCCTTGGGTCTGTGTTGATTAGGGTTATGCTTGTATAGAAAAATAAAATAATGCTAGGCATTGTTACACTTTCATTAGCATCACAGTTATGAGCCATTGTGTCTGCATATGGCTAAATTGGCTTTCTTATACATTAATTTGTTTTGGCATGTACGTAATACTTTGCCTTCACTGTCTCAAATATATTAGAAGTGGCTTAAGAAAATAAATGTTAGTCTTTCTTTCTACTTTAACTGCATAGACTGCAAAAAAAAAATTGGACAGTTCAGTTGTATAAATTAATCTTTGCTCCTATAATGTTAAGAAGTGGATCTCTTCTCCTGCATATATTCTAACTATAAATAAGTAAATAAATTTGTTGTTTTGTTCTTTGAATACAATGGTGGTAAATGATACTATTCAAGGAAAGGGCAGTTATGGAAAAGCTCTCTCACAAAATTGAACTTTTGCATTCCAAAAAAATCCCAGAAACAGCTTCCACAAAGGTGTATTAATTTGGATTGGATAGCTAGGTAATGGATTTTATTTCAAAGAGTGAAATCATTTATTTCCTAATTCAGCAAGTTGTTGTCTCAATGGAACAAAACGTAGAGGCAGAAAGTAAATCTCCTCTTATTGATTGAACTGTGGATGAGTTGTAATAGATCAGCAAGTACTATGACTCTAGATTTATCTACATTAGCAACATAGATTTTACTCTCTAAGCCTTACTGTTCTGCTTAGATGCAGAAAATTTTGGATTCCTGGAAGCGGATGTTATATATGTGAAAAGATTTATATAACATTGGTTCCTGAACATTGGATTTGGGAGATCAAAGAATTCCTGCCCTGCATTAGCCCAAGATTTGGGTTCCATAGAGTTTCTGGGGAAAACATCCTATTATTTTTTTAAACTCTCTGGACTGCAACAGGATATGCAATTGATTCAGTCACGTTTTATAGGAGAGTGATACAGTAGGTGTATATATTTTGCTGGAATGCAGAACAAGCAAGGAATATACAAATTATTTCAAGGAGGTTTTACTCTAACGTGGTTCTAATGTAGATATATTGATGTGAAAATAAGGGTAATAAATTGGAAATGCTTTAGTTTAAAAGCCACCCTAAGTAAGATGTGAGAGTTAAACAGTTTTGAAGCATAGTTAATAAATCCCAAATTGGAAAAGAACAAAGATCTATAATTTCTTGCCAAGATTCCCCATCTTCTCTTTTTATTTTGATGCAAATATATGAATAGCCTTTTATTTGGAATTAATAAAAATTTCAGCGAATGAATTACACCAACAACATGCTGTAATTTGGAATCACATCATGGAAGCAAATGAAATATCCATCTTACCTATTGCTTCCCCAATCATTTTAGCAGGGCCTCCCTTCCATTCATCGTAGATCTATAAGATACATAAAGACTGGTGGATCTTGCAGCATAAAATACAATTTTACCACAGGGTAAAACTTTTTCAAAAATATGTTTAGTTAAATTTGAAATGAAAATAATTTATAAACAGCTAAATTAGATTGCAGTCTATATTCATCACTGATCTTTTTGAGATTTATTTATGAATGGATATGCATAGAACTGTTTATTGTTGTAGATTATAGAATGTGAGAAAGAAAATGCAAATCAAACTCTTCTAATTTCAATATGTTATTTCATGAAATATGAAAAAAGCTGATGGTGCTTTGTTTGCTTTATTTTTTCTTTTTCTTTTTTAAAACAGACAGTTGGCACATACATTTAATAAATTATTACTATTATTATTTAGAGGTGCTCGCAATAGTCAGATTAATGTTTAAATATATCTTTGTTTTCATATTCACTGAAAATTAACTAGTTTCAACTCAATCTTTATGATCAGATACACTTCTGCTATTTATTTTTGTTTCATATCTAAGAATTTCTCTTTTTGTGTTGTATTTCCTAATACCTTAAATGTATTTAAACCATTTAAAATTGTTTGGGTGAAAATAACTGCTCTTTTCCGATATTCTTATTAAGTCAGACACTATTGTAATTGGCTTTATTGGTTCACACATATGTGTTCATGCACATAGAGACCCAGAGTGAAGAATGTAATAATCATTCTAATCTTTATAATGTTTTTAGTGGTAATGGCACTCCTAAACAACCCGCCGTTCGTTTCAAGCGAAACAAACATCACAAGGGATCGATCTATTGTGTAGCATGGAGCCCCTGTGGACAATTGCTAGCTACCGGTTCCAATGACAAATATGTTAAAGTCCTGCCTTTCAATGCAGATACCTGTAATGCCACTGGTAAGTGTGAGCAACTATAAAATGTAATAAATCTGAACACTGGTGATAGAAGAGAAACAAAATAGTTCTTGTGAATAACATAATGGAGTCAAAACTAACTATTCCTTTCAATCCGAAACATTTTAAAAGGCAGTCATTGATAAATCCTAATTCGGATCTTTGTCTGAATTTCTCCTTTCTTAAATTAGAACAATTTCTCTCTGTCTTTATTTCCTGCCACATATACATTACATATAAAATTAGATTACAAATGTTGAAGAATAGAAAAATATTAAGAATATTTATTTACTGTATTATAGATGACCTGAACTAGGTTTAGGTTTATTAGATTTATATGCCGCCCTTCTCCCAAGGACTCAGGGCGGCGTACAACATTAAAAGAAACACATAATACAAAAGTAAAGAAAAAATAAAAATAGAATATCCCAAACACAATTAAAATTGACAATGACATTTTTTAAAAAAAATTCAAATTCAAATTAACAGTGATCAATAATTTGTTTTGTTTTGTTCAGGCCAGGCTGGCTTGCTGGAAAAGCCAACTTTTTAGGGTGCGCCAGAAGGACCGGAGGTCAGGGATTATATATATCTTTAGGTGTTTTGTGTACAAAAATGTTTAAATCAGGTTTTGTCCGTATTCACGTAATAATGGATAGTACTCATTACTTTTTCCTCAAAATTGAGTATTCATTGTTAGATGTCACTCCTTTTCTTCCAATTAGTGCAGGATAGAAAAAGTCAAATGCCGCTGTTCTCCTGGCAGAATAAGATATTTTCGGTTCTCCATTATTAATCATGGCAGTTTATAGGTGTTTACTGAAATTATTATTAGATAATAATTCTTGAATAGGAATGCCTTTTAGGGCCGTTTGCTGTTTATTAACTTCTTTAATGGATTAACGGGGGACACAGTTTCCACCATTAATCTACTAAATTGAAGTTTACTGTGATTTAGTTTTTACACGGCAGCCTTAAGTTATTAACAGACTCCACTGCTATTTTCTGCAATTGGACTCTCTTTTTTAAAAAAAAACAATATAATTGGAGTTTGCTAAGTTCCATTTTAATTACCTAGAATGTCTCTGTAAATTACCTAGAACAGTGTTTCTCAACCTTGGCCACTTGAAGATGTCTGGACTTCAACTCCCAGAATTCCCCAGCCAGCATTTGCTGGCTGGGGAATTCTGAGAGTTGAAGTCCGGACATCTTCAAGTGGCCAAGGTTGAGAAACACTGACCTAGAATGTCTGTGTAAATTTTGCTTCAGCACAACATGAAGCCCACTGTTGGGAAAGAAACTTATTTCTCGTACTAATTAAATGTTTATCCAGATTCCTGCTATGCTGCCAGGTAAGCCTGATAGCCTTTTACAAAACCACACCCTTCCCTGGCTGACGTTTGCTAAAACACAGTAACTATATATTTGGAAATATTTTAGTAGGTACATCTGTTTCTCGTTTTTCAAAACCAAGCTTTTCCTTATTTTTACATTGTGTCATAAAATTCCTTAAATGGTTAGTAAGCCTATTCTGTACTAAACATATGCTTGTTTATATTTTTCCTGTTTTAATGCTTTTAGGGCCAGATCTGGAATTTAGCATGCATGATGGAACTATTAGAGATCTAGCCTTTATGGAAGGTCCTGAAAGTGGCGGTGCCATTTTAATAAGTGCTGGAGCTGGCGACTGTAATATTTATACCACAGACTGCCAGCGAGGGCAAGGTCTCCATGCGCTGAGTGGCCACACTGGTATGTTAACAGCTCATCAGAATCATTAGCTTTACAGTCTTGCTTTATGAAAAGTTTAATAAAGTTTAAAATGTGCACTGTATATTAAAAATATAAAACGCTACAAGTATCTCTTAATGTCTCCCTTGTGGCTTAAAAGTAACTATTTCTTAATTAAACCGCTTAGAGGGGGCTGTAAAGCATTATGAAGTGCTATTGCTATAGGTGTTAATAGCTTTTTAAAAACCCACAGTGAATACAAATTCATCTCTTATATATGCAGGTCACATTTTAGCACTTTATACGTGGAGTGGATGGATGATAGCATCTGGATCCCAAGACAAGACTGTGAGATTCTGGGATCTCAGAGTACCAAGTTGTGTTCGAGTTGTTGGAACAACTTTTCACGGAACTGGTATGTTTACTGATATTGACCTAAAAACACACATTGGTGATAGCTGTTCAAAAGTTTTATTGTACAGAAGATGGAGATTGTCACGGTAAAGGAATAGCTTCTTTATAAATTTGAGTAAATACTGGGAATCTTTTGTTAAACATCTAACACTATTATTAGAGGGACATTTCAAATAATTAAACGGAATGTTTATTTTGTAAATTGTATATTTAATGGTCAGTATTCCAGTCTCATATTATATGAAAGACCTTTTTTAAACATGTACAATAACTTGTTTAAATTTTTTACTGATAAATGCTTTTATGAGCCGAGGTGGCGCAGTGGTTAGGGTGCAGTACTGCAGGCCACTTTAGCTGACTNAGGATGGAAGGCTGAGTCAACCTTGAGCGGGTGAGATTTGAACCACCGAACTGCAGATAGCAGTCAGCTGAAGTGGCCTGCAGTGCTGCACTCTAACCACTGCGCCACCTCGGCTTAGGACTGTTGCGGCGATCTCCCCAATGGGAATGCGATCAATGCGTTGCTTTTAAATTTGCTTTTCTTCTCTTCCTATTTTAACTTTTATTTTAGTCTCGTTTTTTTAAGCCGCCCGGAGTCCTGCGGGATTGGGGGGGGGCATATAAATTTATTAAATTACAATTAATTATTACAATTACAAAATTTGGTTGCTTGGTAGCTGACTCGTATTTATGGTGGTTGCGCTATCCTGATCCCTTTTTGCAACCTTCTTCCAAGCAAAGTCAATGGGAGAATCCCGATTCACTTAACGGCCGGTGGCTAACTTAAAAACTGTAGTGATTCCCTTAACTCTGGCAGGAGCGGTCGTAAAATGGGGCGAAATGCACTTGAAACGTTTCGCGTAGCAACATAAACGTTTTGCTTAATTGTGGCGGTAAGTCGAAGGCTACCTGTATCACTTAATTGACTCCAGCAGCTGAAAAGGAGACAAAAGGGGCCTTGTTTGATTTGGACTCAAGTCTCCGGAATGGCCTGTAAATATGTTCACCTCTTCATTTGAGTGGGTGTGTCTTCTACCGTTCATTTGGTAGCCCACGGGCAGGGAGCGCGTGTTTTTCCTGCATCCCGCAACAACAACTTTGCGAGTAGGTGTGGCTCGGAGAGAGAGAGAGACAGACTGGGAAGGGACATCCCCTGACTGACTTGAAAGTGGCTGTTTTATACAGATAGTCCTCATTTATCGTCTGCCTCGTTTAGCAACCATTCAAATTACAACAGGGATGAAGAAGAAACTTTGCAAACCTTCCAAGGCCTGCAAAGCCGAAGGAAGGCTTAAGTAGAACCATAAAGCACAGTTGTGGTTTCACTTAGTGGCTGCTCAGCCAAATGAGTGAGTTTCCAGTCCCAACTGTCATTAAATGACAAAAAAGTTAAATAATTAAATAAATAATTAAANAGCCGCCCGGAGTCCTTTGGGAGTGGGCGGCATACAAAACTAATAAACGAGAACGAGAATGACATTGAGTTGGCCATGCCCACACAGTCACATGACCACCAAGTCCCACCTACCCAGCTGGTCATTAGGGCAGAGAACCTCTTGTTAAATTATTTGAATCCTACCACTGGTTTGGCTGAGAAATAGTAAATGGTCCAGAATCACCCAGACAGCTTTTATACCTAAGGCGGGACTAGTATTAAGTCTCTTGGTTTCTACTCGAGCACCTTAACCATTGTACCTATTTATCTAACTCTTATATAAAATATGAATGTGCCATTATGGCAAACTACATCTGTCTTCTTTAATTTCTGGAACTCAATAGTGGTATTACCTGTTCTGTAATAGATGAAATGAGGGAGCGGAAAGCATAATCCATCTGATTTGTTTCAGGGTACATGAAACGGTTTACTTGAACTAAACAGTATTAATGAAGTTTATGTGCAAAGATAAAGTAACCGGCAGTGCTGTGCAGACATCCTAATTATTATTTCTAATTATTCTTCATAGGTGACCTTACTAAGCAGCTACCAACTATGGTAGTAGGGGAACACAAGGACAAAGTGATCCAGTGCAGATGGCATACACAGGATCTTTCCTTCTTATCATCTTCCGCTGACAGAACTGTCAAACTCTGGAGTTATAACGTATGAATGAAGCACAGATCCACAAGGCAACTGGAGGTGTCTATGAAAGGAACAGCATTTCAGCAAGAAGATGCGTCCCACAGAAACTTGGTTGTTATGAGATGTTGGTGTGTTGGTGTGGATTATTATTTTTCAGTGCTTTCCATGTGATCTCACGCTGCTACGACCTCCTTGTAGTCTTGTCGCTGAGGTTTGTTACAAGAGCTCTTGCGAAGTCAATGTGCACTCCAAAAAGTTACATTTATTTATGTGTTTACATTTTGTGTTATTTGCATTCCCTGGTCTTTTGTCTCAAAGACAATATTTCTTTTTTTAAAAAAAAATCAGGTTGAATTAAGAGTTCAAGGAAATTCACATGCAATATCATAGCATCCACACAGATTAAGACTTGTTATATGCCATGCTGTGCAATGTTGTTTACATCTATCTTAATTAGTGGCCCAAAACCTTTCCCCATCAAAGCTTCATTTAATACGTATAATTATGAACTCTCTAAAGATGGTTAAAGAGGACCTGACTCTTGATCATAGTAACTAGCTAGAGATTTGAGACGTATGAAATGATTCTCAGTTTGAGGCTGTACTTCGTTGGATTATGTTCAAAATTCAAGCTTTTGGTAGAAAAAACATGGGTGTGAAGAGGCATTAGCGTTACTGAATGCAGCAAAATACCTCTGTGTAATGTAGGGAAGCAAACGCTCTTAGGTGTGGTTGGTACATGATATCAGTGGCTATAATCCTTCCTACAGAGGCACGTATGTGAAAGTATTGTGTGTGCAGTTAGGAACTTTTCTGAAGTTGCTATAATTACTAATTGCCTTGTTGGAAAAAAAAAGTAATATATTAAATTGCCCATTCCTCATCATTGCAAAACAGTATAGTAAAATGTTTCAAAATATCCTCTGGTTACACAGTTTTCTCCTGTGTTTATATAGAACAGTGGTTCCCAAACTTGGCAACTTTAAGACTTGTGGACTTCAACTCCCAGAATTCTCCAGCCAGCTGAGCTGGAGAATTCTGGGAGTTGAAGTCCACAAGTCTTAAAGTTGCCAAGTTTGGGAACCACTGATATAGAATACCATACAAATTTTAAAGGCAATAGCACGGCTTGAAATGCTATGTCTGCATGATAATCTAAAACTAAATTATTTCCCAGTTCAGAAGTTTTATTTGGAATTTTTAATTTCTTGCACTGACTATATAATATAGTTGCAACTTTATTTCTATATTTAGAGTATTATGTTCATCTATTGTTTTATATTTTCATATTGTACATTTATATTGCTTTTAAATTAAATTCTTAAATATTTGGATTATTTATTTGAAGTAAAATTTAAGGCTTGGTTCTAATATATGCTGTGCACTGTAGCAAGGCCTTTTTGAACTGTCATTAAAAAAAGTTGAGGTTACTATAGAAGTGTATATGTACTTAATTCAATAAAGAAAGTGAAGCTACGTAATTTTTCTTCCTTCATATGGAAACAACTACCACGAGGTGTATGAATAAGCCGACAATCAATTTTTTTTACCAAAATAACATGAGAAATCCATTACCCACAGATAGGGTGACCCACATATTTTTCATGCTATTTTGAATAAAAATCCAAAGGCTGCTTATCCTTGGATGAGCTTATCTGTGCATATATATATTGGAAATATCTGTACTTTTAAAAACTTTATCATATATACTCACAGATAAGCCCACCTAAATTTAGGTGCATTTTGCCACCTAAAATATTTGGCTTGTGGAAACCAAAATAGCAGAATAAAGGTTTATACAATAACAGCAGCAATGTAAAATCCATCTGTATAATAAAGATGGTCATCTATGTATTCATTTAAAATCCCTCTGAATTTCTTAACGCCTATGTAAAAAAAAACAGCCAGATTAATATAGTGATTAAGTCACCAGGCTTGAAACCAGGAGATCGTGAGTTCTAGTCCTGCCTTAGGCACAAAGCCAACTGAGGGATCTTGGGCCTTTCTCATCATCCTGGCAAGCAGACAATGGCAAACCACTTCTAAAAATCCTGCCAAGAAAAATACACGAGGCTTGTCTGCACAGTTGGCCTGGGCCAGTGGTTCCCAAACTTGGCAACTTTAAGACTTGTGGACTTCAACTCCCAGAATTCTCCAGCCAGCTCTGCAGAGCTGGCTGGAGAATTCTGG